AGTGTCATTACATTATCTTTAGATAATAATAACAATAACAATAATGCAGTGAGTTACAGAAGAGAACCTTTGGCTATTTTATCTACCCGCTCGTCTAAGAGATTTCTAATAAAAATCACTGAAATTCTCTTGTTTTATACTTTTCGGAAATAAGAGATTTTTATCCTTAAAAGAATATGGCGCGTCTCTAGGCTGTCTTTTGAGATTCATAATGATTGTAATTTTGAGATTTAAGATGAAGAAATTGAGTACCCTGTTTTTTCGTTATAAGCTAGTAGCTTAGAAGAATAAAAAAGTGATTTTTTTGGCTCACTAGTAGCTTAGTAACGAGTAGTAGCTTAGTAAAGAAATTGAACTTCAATGAAAATTTTGAATTTTTTGACTTTTTTAAAGAAATTTTGCTATCTTCCCGATTTTATTTCATTGACAATGTCATAAGGCATTTAAACTGATACTTAGAAAGTTGAAAAAGATTAATTAAACTTTATTTTTGGTAGTAGCTTAGTAAAGGTTACAAAAAATTTTCAAGTTCAAAAAACTTTACTAAGCTAGTAGCTTAGTAACGAGTAGTAGCTTATAACGAAAAAACAGGGTAAGGGGAAAAATGTTGGCTGATGTAAATGATGTCTTCTGGGAACATTTTAAGTAAGTTTCAAGGTTTAAAGAGGTTCACGATATCAAAACGTTCAAATAAAATTTTAACGGGTTTCAAATTCAATTTTTATCGGTTTTAAAAAAATTTGAATTTTAAACCGAATTTTGTAATCAACTGAACTGAACTGAAATGAACAGTGTGATTGCTGAACGAATTTTGTTTGCTTGCAATTCGTGCTTAAATTGTTTCTGTAGTAAATTATTCTGTAATTGAATGATTTCTAAGTAGCAATAGCATTTTGTGCAAATAAACAGCAAAATATGAACACTTTGCTTTGGAATTAAACAATCAAAATTCTAGTAAAGTTAATATTTAGCTTAGATTGTCATAAACAGCATTAAAACAGTCACTGCTTTTTGAAATTTGATTCAAAATCAATCTCATTCCACTTCCAATCTCGAAAACTGCGCAACAAATTAATGACAAACAATCAACCTTGCCCTTATTAACCTTTTCTTATCTCGATTAAACAAAGGATCATATTTGCAATATGTTTTGTAGACACATGAAATCAGAAACAGAAAACAGAATTTAAGGTGTACACAGAAGGGATTGAGATTAATTAAGATATTTATTAAAATACGAATGTGTGCTCAATTTTCATTATTAATATGTCGGTAGATCATTTTACATTAGACTTATAACAAATTTACCAGGTACCATATGGCTGTTGATATATTTGTGTAATAATCGTAGCATATTTAGTTACCGATATGCTATTATGCTTATTAGAAAATTAAAACATAAGATACAGATGAGAAACAATTATAATCGTACATAGATTCTGTAGATGTATGTACCTAGATTATTTGCGAAGAAAACGGAAAGAGAATTGGTTTTTTGGAGAGCACCTGCAGATCATGTCAAGAGGAAAGTGAAATAAGTACAAATAGAGATAACAGATCGCAAAGAAGTAAGTAGGCAGACATGCAGATGTGAATAAGAGTTATGAAATGTAATGATTATCATAACATGAAACCAACAGCTGAATTTTTTTTTCTCCTTTTATCGTACGTCTCGTGTGTATCACATGCTTCCTTTTGATGCTCTAGAAACAAGAATAAAGTCGTAAAATCTTTAAAAATATTTAAATTTTATGCATGTATACACAGCGTTTTTTGGGTATGTTTTAAGAAAAAATTGACATGTTTGGTTTGTTCAGGTGGTTGACTTTATAGCTTGGTTCTTTTTGGAATGTGTGAAGTTTTTAACCTGGTTATCTTGTTTTACAAGAGTTCAAATTTTAACAGAAGTTCATTTCTAGATAAACTTTAAAAAAATCATAAAACACAGTTCAAATCTAAAAAAATCCGTTAATAATTCAAATTCATAATGACTGTTAAATTTTACATAAAACCAGGAAACCTCAAAATTCTTAAGAAATGCGCATCAAATATCACAAAAATTAAACAACTTTCAACCCCAACTGCTCGTGCGTTTTCATTTTCAACTTTTATCTTTTCTTGGTATTTTAATTAATTCTACTACACATAGCGCAAGGTTGTACTACTCGTGTGTAGATGAGAAAGGAAAAAATAACGTTCACTGGAAGGACGGCAAAGTTACATTCAAATGACTGCACTCATCTAAAATTCTAATCTCGAAGTTATTTTCGTTTCTTCTATTTCTTCTCATCTTATGCCTCCTCCTACGACATTACGATAGAGAAGACTGCGGATGGAATGGAGACGCGAGAGGAAAAAATGATCGATTATGTCAATTCCCAATTATTTCATTTCACTCTGCTTAAAGCCTAAGTAATACCGGAAATTTGTCTTAAAACAAAAATAAGCTAAGACAATTTGTTTCAATGTAACTGTTCCATAGCTGTGCGGAAGAAGACGTCAGGAAATTAAATTACAATGTGTAGTATGGGAATTAAGTAGAATAAGTAAAGAACATGATAGAATTATGATGGGTGGGAAAAATGGGATAATTAATGAAATAGAAATTTTAAACATAAAACTTTGAAATTACCATAGCAACAGCTCGTCATGCATGAATAATTAAATTATTAATGAATCATACAGTTGAATAGTGACATTAATTGAATTTTAAAAAGACTAAGAATCACTTAGAGGTTGATTGCTCTTGATATCTAGCAATTTAGGAGAGGAGGGGGTCCTTGAAACTTTAGTTTAGTCTTTATAAGTAAGTTTGGATTAGATAAAGACGACTATAATCCTAAAGAGTTCTTTCCTTATCTACACTAGACATTATTCAAATATTAAACGAATTATAACAAATAACAACATTTAATGAGCTGTCATAAAAAATCTCTTATTCTTTGTCATCCTCATTCTTAATATTCATACTTTTATTACTCATATATTCTTTATGCAAATATCATAAATCTTAATCGATGGCGCTTTATGTCTATCAATTTTTCTTTTCCTCACAAGAAAATAAATTTATTGACGCAATTTAACGAAAGATCATAAAAGTCATGAAATTTCTTCAAGAAAAATCAATGTTGGATGATTGGATCTATAAAGATGCACAATCTATAGCTTCATGTTCTCAGTGGAATATTTATCTGCATGTATTAATCTTAACACGCTGATGTGTTGAGGGAAAATTTATACCATTTGAGAAATTTTTGTCGAATTTTGATTGGATTTTTATGTGTTTGAGCGAATTTTCATGTTTCTTTGGGAATTTTAAGATGTAAATGATTTTTTGTGCTTGCAGGATGAATAACAGATTTTTAAAATTCAAATCTTCGTACTTGCACACCCTTTTGAAATTGTTTATATTGAAATTTTTAAGACAAGACATATCCGAGTGGACATTGACTTGCCTGTTCATGGCGAGTAAGTATCCATTGACGTGCCTTTGCAACTAGACTTAGGGACGACTAATGACATATTTTGCGCTTTCCATTTAACTCGACATAGGAATTGCACATATGTCTAGTTATTGTCCAGTTACAAAAAAATCGAAATAAAATAAATAACACGTGTCTTTTTCTCCATTTTTTGTCTTTTGTAAAATTCTATTATTGTGTTAGTGTAATTAATTAATTAAAGTGCACTAACACTTATGAAAAATCTCTAGTAAAAATTGAGTCTCGAACACTTGCGCGTGACACATTTACGTTTACTTAAAATGGTAATACAAATTTTGGTAGATCTTATATAAGTGATTTCTGCAAGCGCTTGTGAAGTATATAGTAAAAAGTAAGGAAAATTATTTTTGAGTTTCGAGCACTTGATTGATTAGCATGAATGTCCAGTTAAAGTCTAGTTAACGTCTAGTTCTCTATGTCGTATAAATTTTGGCAAGGTAAAAGACTGTTAAATGATTGTCCAATAATGAACTTTAACTGGCTGTGTCTACCCGGGATAAAGTTGGAATTTATTAAATCCAGTGCTGCGTGACACATTAAATATCATTTTAATAGCAGAAACATTAAAAGAAATTGTCAATTCAAAGATTGCAGCTGAGGTTTACTTGCTATAAATTATGAATTGAGGTAAAATCTTTAAAATTTTAAATTGCGCATTAAAAACAATTTAACTTTAGAAGTACGTATTGTATGGAACATCCAGTTAGAGCTTTATAAACTGGGTTATGAGTGGAATTGAGCTATAATCTTTATTTAATTACAGAATGTCGTAAAATATAGAGCAAACCCGGAATAGAAGATATATTAGAGAGAAGCATTTAAAATTAATTTATTCAGGTTTTAAAATGCATCAATCAGACTTGATATTCACACAATCTTTACTCTTTTGGTCATACCATCAACAAGGTTATTTATATCGAAGAACTCTGATGAAATTGACCTACAGAACATTACACATTTCCGAAATAAGCAAGTCTTTTTTTTAAGTTTATGGATATTTGAATTGATCGATCAAAAATTGCGATACAGATGCGAAGATAACGCTTCAAGGATAATCGATTTTGCCGCTGATTTTGATATCTCGATGGAAGTCAAAAATGTATAAATAATTTATAACGCAAAAAATTATTACTTTATTGCTTGATGCTTCCAAAATTCAATATTTTGAGTCGAACAGACTTTCTTCTTCCTTTTTTTCTCTGTCTCTCATTCATCCCTCTTTCCTAATCTTTGTTAACTACATTCATGACATCTTTTCTCTTCATGTATTTTTATATTGTGTTGTGCATGCACATTTCGGATTCTTGAGGAGCGACAACAACACAAAAAGTGAGTAAAATATGGAGGAATTTATGGTAAGAACGCACACAAACAAGCATGTAAACATGTACGGCAGAGAATATAGAGCCCACAATATTCGGAGCAATAACAGAAGCAAGTAAAAATAAACTAGGAATGAGTAGTAAATTGAGAGTATTGAGGAACAGGCAAATAAACTCACATTTCAACAACTGCTGAATCGTTTAAGTGCCAGCTGTGTCGCTTATCCATTTTTTCAGAATTTTTCTTTTCGCCTGAATTGTTGATCCTTGAATTTGCAGCAACAGCAGTCGAATTAATGGCATTTCCATTATTAATATGATTGCCACGATTTATGAAACTTATGTTGTACCACTTTTTGGATTTTTCTATAGACACTTCGTGTGGTTTATGTCCATTCACATTTGATAATTTTTTTGCACTTTTATCCATTTGTTGCTTCTGCTGCACCACTGAATTATCATCACCATCATCACAATTTGTTTTAATTTCTTCACACTTTTCAATAAATTTTATTTTGCTACATTCATCATCGGATGATAGCGATGCTGGTGGAGACGATGCCACAATTGTTTTATCCACTTCATCAATTGAATCTCCTTTCACATCTTGTTCACCACAACCAGTAGAATCATTACTATTAGTATTGTCTGTATGTGAATTTACCATTTCATATTGTGTAACTTCTTCACCCATATTTTATGACTATTCTTTCCACTAACTTCTTATTTATTTTTTTTTTCACTCATAGAATCTTATTGTGTAATGATAAATGAGAAGAACAAGACTCCATGCATTTAGTTTACATGTTCTTGTACATTCAACTTTTGAATTATTCTTCAGGAGATAAAAAAAGTCATTATTACTGTACAGTCTGAGACATTGATCAGCATATAACCGTTTTATTCTTACACCTTTCTCTTCATTCCTCCTTCCAATCAACAATTATTCAGAGAAGTCATAAAGAAACGGCAGGTAGTAATTAAAAAAAAAATATAATCAGCAATAAAATGACCGTTCCTATTTAACTTGCAAAGGCACGACTTTATTCCACAAATTGTAACTTAATTAATTCATTTCTTTTTTAAATTCGCAAATTGATATTTGACCTCTGTACACAAAATTGATGACTACTAATAAAAAAACAACTTCATTCACAGAAAACAAATAAAATTTAAATTCTCTTTAACCGAAAGGAATTATTATTTTTTTAACGGACACGGAGAGTGCTTCTGCGCCGACAGCTCAATTAAAACTCAGCAATTCAGTACATACAGACTAAAAATTGAATATTATTTTGTTGTTACTCTCATTTCTCTCTTACTTTTAACGTATAGACAACGGACTGAGTGAAATTTCTGTGACGTCATTGTTAAGCGGTTCTCTCTCATTCTCTCACTGACTTATGTGCATCCACTGATCGGTTATCGGTACAAAAATGAGAGACTTACTAATACATATAAAGATATTATTGCGGTAGGCTAAAGCTTGATCGGTTAAGAAAGCTTAATTTCAAAATTTTAAAGTCCGTTGCACAACCAGACATCGACCAAAAAAAGAAGAAGTAACCATAAATTATTCAGCAAAATGTTTCAATTATGCAAGATAATCAATTTGCTTGGAATGTAAGTAAATGAAGATGGCAAATAATGTATGAGTTTGGAGATATATTACACCTAATAAAATCCAAATATCTCATTGGTCACGTCCTGCTGAAGACGATGATAGAAAAAAAAAATTTGAACTTTCTATCTGCTTATAAGCACTAAATTCTCTTTTTTATGGACGTAATGGATGCAAGCAAACAGGTGTGAAACATAATTTGTTGAACGGAGACAAGATTAAGTATCCTTATTAATTAACTTTAGCATTTTTGAGATGAATCTTTAATGTGGACACGTGCTGTAGACTGAATTGTCCCTTTTTTTAAAGATCCGACCATAAAGTGAGGTAACATCAGATGTTAAGTATTTCTTATTTTGTGAAAATAAAAGAATTTTAGAGACTCACCGTGATCTCATGAAAGACCTGGGCAACGACCTGCTTTGAAGACGAGTAAAATGTCGTCGTTGACGGACCACATTTGATGATGTCGATGGAGTGAAGAATTTTCCTTTCGTGTAATTTTGAGCACTGGAATAAAAAGGTAGATTTTATATTAGATAATTGAGTTAAGGAAGAATTTTTAAAATTTGAAGAAATATAAATTGAATAATCCTATTTAGTCATTTTAAGAGTTTGAGCAATGGCATTAATTGGGTAATATAATGATATTGAAGCTTAATATGTTGATTTTCTTTAAATAAATGGCTTAATTAGGTTTTAGGTTAGTGCTGAATTCAAATTTAATATATAGAATTTCAAACCCTTCGGTTTGAACCAGGACCTAAGCTACTAGTCCATTCTTCCCAGCTAAGCTATAATCCTAGACAAAGCTAAAGGTGAAGAACTGATAAATTACATTATGATTGTTTTTGATTATTTCACCAGTTCCGTACTCTTAGACAAAGCCTTTGATGAAAGCGAACAATACAATCCAGTGTTTCTCAAACTATTCAGACTACGGAGCAGTTAATCTTTCGTTCATCCCTCCTGACCGCATTAGCAGCTTCTATTGTCGAACCTACGATTTTATTTACGGAATATTAGTGCTTCGCGGAGTTTAGTTTGAGAACCACTGGTGTAATGACACACCCAATCTTTGTCAATTAAGTTGTTAATGGTGTATTGTGATCAAAAGTGCAGTTTTTGATCCTTTAATCATGGACAATATTAACTTCATGTTGTCATGAACTAAGTTTTGGGAAAAAGCTAATACTTTCCCATTAGAAATCTTCAACTTATTTAAGCATCGAACGAGAAATCTAACCTTTAAAATCATCAAATATCTTCAAAAAAGATCATTCTTATGTTCCGAATTTCTCCATTTCGAATAACTTTACCTCAGGACATACATAAAATGTCAAAAGATGTCCAATAATTTCAATAAACTGATGCAAACAGTAACCGAACCCAACAAAAATTTCCAAGTATTAATAAACATTCACATTTCAAAATTCAATGATGAAAAATTTATACAATTCAATTCAGCATCATCTAAAGCTACAGAAAAGTCAAGAATTTAATATTAAACACATTCAAAAGAAATAAAAAATATTTCTATGAGGTAGAACGAGCAGAAGAAATATTTCCAGCGAAATCATGTGTAATATATTCATCATCTCTACATGAGAAGATTACATTGGCTTTTCATACATTTTATGCAATAAATTAGCTTAAAGTCGTATTTGTCAATAAGTTACATGAACATTTTCTGTCAAAGCATTTTTTTTAGTGTACATACTCTCATTTGAATCACAAAGTATCATTAGCTGTAATTGCATAAAATCTGCTGAAATGATTTAATATTGCATCATTAAAATTGATTTGTAAATGAAGCTTTATAAGCATCAGTAATCCTATCATTTCATGAAGAACATGAGGAATGAAAATCAAGCAAAAATCGATAAGTCTCAAGGGATGCTAAGTCATCCGATCTGAAAAATAACTTTCTGAAGGAGCCGAAATGTAAGAAAAAGGAGTCAAGAGCATTAGACAAAAATTTCTTCGTAATGCAAATCCTTTAAAAAATTCTTTCAGAACATGACTTTCAAATATTTTTTTTTCTCCTTCTTATTTCTTCTTTTTTGGATATAAGATGATGCAAAAGGAGAAGAAAAGAGAAATTTAATTTGATTTAATTTTGAAAAGTTCAGACGAATGAAAACGAAAAGCAAATAAGATGAATTTTTTGAATTTAGGTTAGGTTCTTATGGAGATATTGAACAAATTCTTGAAGTTTCTAGATTTATTTCCAGACCTTTAAGGATTTAGTTGATTTCTGGGTTATTAATCTGGTTAAGGTTTGCAAGTGTCAACTTAAGTATAGTTTGAAGTTAATTATCTTTGTCTTAACTTTTTCAATTCGAGATTCACGTGATTCACGCTCTTTTTCAAGCTATAGTGCTGTTTTCTAAGGTTTGAATGATGTACCAGGTTTAAGTCAATCGATTTTCGATCCAAGCTACCTTAATATTCAATATTTATTGACTACAGTAAAGGTTATCGATAAACTTTGGCTGTCAATAGAGTAACCCTGGCTTGTCCTTGAAACCGGACACTGAATTTCAAATACTTAAGCACGAAAACCTTTTTGGAAACATGGGCAGTACAAAAGAGGATCATAAGCTGACATTTAAAGAACACAGCAATCAAGAATTACCATTGAAGCTGAAGTAGCTATAATTAAGGTAAACCAGTTTTACTTTGAAGATCACAAATGAACGATACAGGCAGCTATAGTTGATAACTTAGAAGCAGGAGGCTCATGATTAATGCAAATCAAGCAAAAGAATTAAGCAACTAAGATTGGGCATCTTTCTCGAGTTTATCTCAACAATACCAGCTTATATGACAAAGCAATATCCGAGGAATCAACCCCCAGTGCACTATTCTAATAAAGATTCCAAACTCATGATTCTAAGAGTCTTAAGCTCACCAAATAGTTTAATAATTGAGAAAAATCAACATAAGGATTAAAGTACACATATAATTTACCATAGATGTGTTAAAACTTTATCTTCACAACAAGTATAATACTCTTGAACTAAACATTATTAAAAATTTGTGGATAAGACTTCATACATGAGTATACATAACAAAAACTATGACTACAAAACTACCAAAAAGAGTAAAATCACATCCCCAAAAGCAAAATCTTCTCAGAAGATTTTTCACAAAACGAATTATGTGAGATGAAGTGGATTGAAGATTTTATTTCACATGAATGCTAAACTGGTTGAAAGCCTTTTGTTAACGAGAATGATTATTATGATGATATCTTCATTTTATTTTTATTTTTTGAAGGATGAAGATAAAAAAAAATATTTTGTGGCTCTTTTTCTTGCGAGTAAATATCCTTTTTAAAGCTCTTATGATCTGACAACAATGCATTTTTCATACTGAATAACCAGATTTTTGCGTATTTTTAACAACAACAACAACAAAAAAGGCTTTTCCGTTTTCATCATGGCGTTATGAATATTTTCAAGAGTCTCTCTAAATTGCTTTAAGGCAAAGTTTTTGCTTCTTTTTTCTTCAAAGTTTGTTTTGCCAAAAAAGAAGCAAAATGTTTCATAGAGTAAGTTTATTTTTTGATTATTTACATTAAATTGTATTATAAATAAGGAATGATGATGTTAAGTAACACTTCATTCGTGAATAAAGTTTGACATTAAGAACGTTTAAACAACGAGGTAGAAGCAAAAGTAAATAAATAAGGTTGTTTTTAGCATGCTTAATTCATTCAGATTGTTACTGAAACAATCGATATTTTTAAAGTCATCTTAAATTTAAAGTGAATGTTTTTTAAGTGCTGAATTAGCTGAATAAGCTGAACTAGACTGAATAAACGGAAATGAGATCAGAAGCTGAATTGAACTGAGTAATAGTTGAATATCCACTAAATACGCGTTGAATGGTGTTCAACTGAGTTGAATTACGAAAAAGCGCTGAATTAAGCTGAAAAAGTGCTTAATGAGTATTGATCAAGTTCTTAATTGAGCTGAATAAGCTTTAAGTTGAACTGAATAAGCTCTAAGTTGAGCTGAATAAGCACTGAATATGGATATATAAACCAAATGTTTCTTAATAAGCTGAAATAATCAGAATTCAAAAATTCTTCAATTTTAAAAAATCTATTTTTATAATTCCTTCAACAATAATTAAATAAATTTCTACATTTCATAAAGCTCTATTCTTCTTAATCATTTTATCGTATCTATAAAAATTTTAATAATAATCTCTAAAGATTGTTTGCATATTCTTTTCATAAAGTACACAGCCGTGAGAGAGATAAAGAAATAAGGCTTCATTGAAAAAGCTCACGAGAAAAAATGTACATGAACCCTTCCGCAACGAGCTTAATTTGTAAAGGCTATTCATCCAATCTGACCGTCATTTATTCGTGTGATTTTTGCGATGACGGCGTTAATGATGAAACGGTCCTTTAGAGATTACTAAAATTTGGTAGAATCTATAGAGAGATATAAATATAAAAGGAATTCTCGGACCTTAATATTGATTTTAAATTATAAATGGACCGAACACATTTTTTATGTCAATTTTATTTTATTGCTGTTGTACTAAACCGCCCAGATGCTTTTGGGATTTCAATGATAGATTTCTCGGAAGATGAAGATTAAATTTATCCGATGCTTAAAATCTTAATTTACCAACAAAGTCCCTTTGGGATGTACAATAGAATAAGCGTCAGCCTGTATAATCTAATTAATTTATTTCTTCTATGAATTGCCACTCAACTTAATCCAAAGGCTTTTCTTTTGTCCTTATGCTTCATATTTATTATAACCATATTTCCTATTTAAGAATCTGAAGTAAATGTAGTTAAGGATCAACAAGGTATGTTCCTCATAAATATAAATTTTCGCGACTTTCAGGATATTTATTAAAATGAATATAAAATAAAATGTAGGAAGTTTCGTCATAAACCATTCTTATGTCTGTTCCTTTTTGTGTGTAGGTTGAAGATTTTTTGTAATACTTTTAAATCCATTCTTGTTGAAGGACTAAAGAAATTCTAAAGACAATACGGCTTTAATTTGAATTTCATCTAATAAATGTGAGAACTCATGAAATATTTAGGACAGATCAATTTCATCATAAAAAAGAGATTGGGAATTTTAAGACCAAGTAAGCCACAATAAGAAGGCTCTAGCAATTAATGAAATGATTTGATGTTTATTCTGTTGATTTATTTAAATTTTAGTCCATAGTTTCATGTTGTTGAGGAGGCAAAGCTTAACCAGTTGCAAGTCATTCACCGAATTCGATACCAAGTCATATCTCCCTTGTATTTGAGATGCAGTGCCAAATGATTTTTTAATGCAAACTTTAATTTAAAGTAATTTCCACACTCATCGCATTGAAATTGTTGTTTTGGATGAACACTGAATCTATGGCTTTTTAAGCCACGCTTGTCTCTACATAAAGTTGGACATTTATCACATTTTATTGGGTTCTTCAAAGCTGCAATTTTTTTATCTTTTCGGTCATGTGCATCAAGATGTTGTTGATAAGTGTTTCTAACATGCGTTGAGTAATTGCACTTTTGACATTTGAAAGGTTTTGGTCGGTTCTTGTCATGAAGGTTTTCGTGACCAACTAGATGTGTTTTAAAATTGAATTTCAATGGGCAAAAACGGCATTCAAAGTTTCTTGGATTTTCATGCTTTTCAATTTTGTGCTTTATCAAGCTATGTTTAGTTGAACATTTTTCATTACAGTCATTGCAAGAGTATCTCCTGGAATGAATGCTTTCATGATTTTTTAAGTGAGCACTGGACTTGAAACCTTTTGAGCAAATGCCACATTTAAGTTCTGGTCCTGTTGCATGTGTAATTTTTTTATGTGTTGATAATGAATGAAGGCTATATTCGGCATGACAAATGTCACATTTGACTTTTGGAAGATGAAGACTTATAATATGACTGCCTAGTCCACTTTTAGTTTTGTAACATTTTCCATCAATATCACACTCAAATTTATTATTCAGAGTTTCATGAACAATTTTTTTGTGTGCACGAATATGTTTTACTTTCTTCCTGCAGATTTTACATTCAGTTTTATTTTTGTCGAGTTTTTGTTCCTTAGACTTTAATGTTGTAATTTGTTCAGATCGTTTGACAACTATTTGACATTCCTTCTCTGGCTCATGCTTGACATTTTCTAAAATTGTTGGTCTGTTCTGGAAAATTTGCTGTTCTTGAACTTCTAAATTACTTTGATTTTCCAGGTTTTCTTGAGCTTCCTGCTTAATTTTCTTTACATTTCCACTTTTAATGATGAAAATTGAAGGTTTTGTTGAATTTTCACTTATTTTAGAAACTGATCTTGGAGCTGAATTAAAAAAATCAGAAATTTTCTTAGACATTTTCTTCTCGACGTTCTGGATACAACTGCAGTATTAAATGCATTACATCTACAGGTAGATTAATTGAGATTCTTCGTAAACTTTCTAGTTTTTCAAAATTTTCTGATTGTCTTCCAAACTTTAGGAAACTTAATCCTACACAGTCAAAACTTTCCACTGTCCCGCCAAAAAAACAAATACATTCCCACATACGCGTAATGTATTCCTCGGTTCATTCACTTCCCATTTTATATTCATTCAATACAATTCCCGCTGTTTATATATAAAAGAACCCTTGGCTGTATTGGATTGCTTACAATATTGAATTTTAAATTAAAAGAAGCAAAAGAGAGCTCGATTTGACTGTTTTTGTGTGTCTCAGTCTTCATTCCGTTTCTTTTTAAGGGAAATTTTAATCTGATTAAAAATCAATTTTGGCATTTGCAATAAAAACAAGTGAGAAAACTTTTCGAGGTGGGTGTGTGAGTTGAGCGTAACGAGAATTGGCGTTTAATAGCATTTTGTATTTCTGTGAATTGGTCTAGACTGTAGACTTTGAAGTTTTGTGGCTCACCGCCAAAGGAAGGAGAAATTTTGTCGTTTAATGCTCTTGATATTGCTTGGTCACTTGCCATTTCAGAATCTACAAGTTATGCTTTAAGTATTTACTGAGCTTTAAGAAGTTTTACTATAATTCAGACTTAGATAACAAAAATTAGGTCAATTAAGTCTCGAGTCTTGCATTATTCAGCTCGTTATCAACTTACTAGTGCGTCATAAAGCTATTGAACTCTAGTTCAGTAATCTCAAGCTTCAATTCAATAAAACTTTAGCTTTAGACACCAAATCGCCTCTAGTATGGTCTGTGTCTATGTTACAGCACTCAAAATAGACAAAACATCAACATTATGTCTTTCAAAAACGTGTTTAAAAACCAACAAAGACTCGGAAAAAGAAGACTTTGCATCTATTTCCAAGCATTTATCCGCCATATTCGATAGAATGACATTTAAATAGGTTTTGGTAAATTGAAATTGAATTGTGAGCTTCATCTGCTAAGGTAGGATTATTCAATATTTTTTTTTCTACGTCGTCTAGTTGATACAATATGTCAATTTCACTTACCGTGTTTGTTGACTAGATACCGCAAATTGTTGCTTCAATTCACTACCGTTAGTAGTAATTTGTATTTTCTGTGTATATTTGCTATTATCTCCAGCAGCTTTATTGGCACTAGAATCACTTCCACTATTTTTATGTTCAACAACACCACTCTTTGTAATTGGCATTTCGCAATCACCGAGAAAGATTATTGAACTATTGTTAAGCTTATTTGCTTTTAACATTGCCGATGCACTATTTCCATCATTTATTTTTATGGTCGTACTACCCGCATTTTTGCTACCACATCCACTATTAAAGGTATTAGCACTCATATTGACACTACGAAATGCTTGTTGTCTCTGCTTTTGCGTATTGACACTTATTTTCGCATTATTGCCACTCGAATCACTATCATTATTCACATTAATCTTATTTGGGCCATTAACATTCTTACTATTATCATTTGATGGATACTTTTTGCCACTATTTCTTCTTTGTGGCCAAATGTCGCAGCTACTCGATGTGCAACTGTAAAGTAATCGAAAATTATTAATAATAATTGTTTACGAAATTTTCATTTTTTGAAATGCCATTTTTTTGGTGGTTAAATAGATAGCTACATATTATTATTACTTTTTAATAATCTGAGTGTGTGTGAGTAATTTTTTTTTGTTGTTTTGTGCGTACAAAGCTAGGATTTTTGATGAAGAGTCAAAGTACAAAAATAAAGTATATTGATTTTTCAATTATTATATCATATTTTTATATACATAAGTGTATACGTATTATTATTACTTTTTTGTTATTATTAAATTAGTAAATTAGTGATGAGTGGAAAAACGAAAAATAATATTAACCAGATAGAAGGGCATTGATGCTAAGCACTATATTTGCATGCCATTCAGCGTACGGGGGAAGAGTTGCAGGGCAATTAATAAATTTTATAGTGTTAGTAGAGAGGCAAAAGTCATTCAGTTTTTTTTTTAGATATTCTAACCTACTGATTAGTAAGTTTAATCGTTAATAAATTCATTCAATCAATTGAGTTTTTGATTTTATGCTGCACAATAGTTTAACGATTATTAGAATTTTTTTAAAATTTTTTTATGACAGTTAATAACTACAAATTATGAGAGTTACGTGCTACAGCTCAATACTCTGTATTATGTGTTTTTTTATTATCTAGTACCTTCCAGACGATGACGTTCCACTTTGATTGGCCGATCGATTAGCTTGCTGCTTCCGTTTTAATCCAAACAGATATTCCGTAATGAGACTCTTGTCTTTCAATACTTTATTTACATTCTCGTTTATTGAATCATCGGAATCTGATGGCGAGCGATTTGGCGATCGATTAGGTGTGGTTGTCGTTCTCGGTTTTAGAAAATTACTTGAATTCTTTTTATAATCTCGATCTCTTTCTCTATCTCGATCTCGCTCTCGATCGCGCCTCTTTCCACCCACGGGTGATCTATCACGGGACAATGGCAAGTTCGGAGGAACACGACTATTATAATTTAAAATAGGTGAACGTGTATTCGTATTTCTTGTTACTACATCATATAACATGTCATGATCATACAATCGACTTCCATAATTACGTGGACTATTCCTTAATGATTTAGATGCTGATGTGACGGGAGGAACTAACAATACTCTATCTTGACTAAATGCTCGATTTCCGCTAAATACATTTTTCGTATTATTTCCATTACGTGGACCTTTTACATTATAACAAAAATCATCATCAAATGATTTGCTTTTACTATCCGATTCAAAGCCATAATCGACACTTAATTTTCCATTGAAATCAAGCAAATCAAACGATTTGGCTTGAGCACTACTGCTGGGCAATGAAATGTCACTATTGCGTAATGACTGTGAACTGTATTTGTTTATTGGCATATTTAATGTTGTTTTACTTCGCGTGTGCGTATAATCAGCAGCTGCTTTTTCTACATTGCTACGATATTTCGATGATTGTTTCGCTTGTTGTGGCGTTGCTGTGTTTCCAATGCGAACAACTAGCTTTTGTAATAATGACGATCGATTTGGTGATCTTTCTGAAAGCTGTAAAGATCTGTGGAATAAGATTTGAGAAATTATTTAGTCTAATTTTGAATTTTAAGCTTTTAAATTGTCACTTACCTCGATCGTCTTATCCTATAATCTCCAAATGTTGTCTTAAACGGAGGTCGATTTTGCCTTGAACGGTTATTATTGTCGGCTTCACTTGAACTCGATGAGCTTCGCGATAATTTTCCATCTTCATATCGCTTCAATTGACGTTCTAATGTACTATTTCGTGAATTACCTGAGCTCTGTCGTGACATCAAGGACGTCTGAGACGTATTCAATTTTGAGCCCTTAAATAAGAGTTCAGGCGTAATTGGACGCTTTTCAGGTGTCAGTGAGCGTTGTCGTTTCGATGCTGAATTAGCGCGATCAACAGTCAACAAATCATAATCATCTATACTCGTATCTGGCGTCATTGATCTTGTTTTACCAAATGATGATTGCTGCTGTTGGGGCTGTTGCTGTTGTGAGTTTAATAATGTTTTCGTAATGTTTCGAGTTGCTGTTTTAATTGGCTCAAGGTATGATGTTGTCGCAGCTGATTTGTAGCTCAATGCAAGCGATGACGAAGCTTCTTCGTCCTCTTCTTCTTCATCATCAAGATCATCGTTCGAGAAATCTATGGTAACAAGAAACGAAGAAGATATTGAAATGAAAATGAGTTTCAACGAAAGTATGTGACATAGTGTAGGAAGAAAGAGATGATGATGATGAGAAATGGCAATAAAATATGCAAAATTATTTACCTGAACGTGCACCGCTATCGCATGAATTTAATCTGTTATTTATTTTTGAACTCGTTTCTAAGCTTCTATAGTTTGTTGTTAAACCAGCTGTTCGTCCATATTGCGGTCGTCTTGATGTGATGCTATCGTCGAGTGAAGTGTGATTTGGATTATAATAATTTGGATTGCTCATCTTGACCTTATTTCCTGGTATGACTTTTGGAAAAATTGTATTTGCTGTTATTGCTGCAGACGAAACAGAAGTGTTTGGTAAAGCCATACTTGGAACGACTGGGTCCGGCTTTTCTTTTTTGGTTAAATAGCTTGGTGAGACACCAGTGAGATTAGCAAAAGCCATTGCATTCCCATATCGACTGAGGAAGTTTTTATTGAAACTTTTATCACCCAATTGAAAGTCAAAATCAAAACTACGTGAGAAGTTTTCATTAAATTCTGCCGTTTTACGGTTATCGTATTCGAAGCTTCTTGAGAAGACCATTCCCTTGCCAATAACAGGCGTAGGCGTTTTATTGTCGTCATCGTCGGTCACAGAAAGTTGAATTCTCGTTCCATTCTTCATCTCGTAAATACGATTACGAATTTGATGGTCTTGAAAAGCTGGCGGTGGACTGAGAATTGGAGTAGGAGGGGGAGCATCACGTGCTAGATTCTTTTTTACTGGCAAGTATGCTGGACGGTCGTTAAGTATTTGTTTCTGATCTGATTGCGGATCAATTTTTAATATCGTCACATTATCATCCTTTGAATTGGTCATATGCTGATTCGCTCGTCTTGCCTCACTCCGTGATATTAGTTCTTCAATCTTTGAATTTGCTAATTTTAACTTATTGATATTCTCTTTACGTGATTCTGAATCCTTTTCGAGCCGCTGACTACTCGTTGTAAGCCACCCGGAGCGATTTAGAAATATTCCATCTTTGGCTTGTTGTTGCTGTTTGACATTTTCACCAAACAGATATGTGGGCTTTTTCTCGAAACTTGAATTACGATAATGCATCTTCTTAAAGTATTCTTTTTCAGTAAGCTGCTTCCACTTTGACTGTATTTTTGCCGCTGTACTAGTCGGCAATAATGTATCTTTAGAAAGGCTTTTTCCTTTACTCAAATGTTTACTTTTCCTTGTTGGTATATCGGGCAATGGTATATTATTAAAATCAAGTTGATCGGATGAATCATTTGATTGCTTTATCGACTGCTTATCACCTTCTTTCTTTTTCTTGTCTGAAACGTTTTGAGCATTTTTATCCTCAATTTTGGATTGTTGGTTCTTCTGCTTCTTATCTCTGTTAAAATAAATAAAACGGAAATGTTTACATTAGAATAGGGATGAAAAATGATGATTGTAGGAACAAAAAAGTCTTTATTGCTAGACTTGGAAAGAATTTTTTTTTGTGTGTAGCTTAAAAAATAAAGTAATTGCTTTTATCTCCATTCCCCCATGTACCTTTATTTCAACGACATAAGCAAAAATAATCTCGAGTTCAAGGTCGCATGAATGAAAATGAGGGAGATCCTTACATAATTTCATTTGTAAGCTTAATTGTTTGAAACTTTTCACTCTTATCTCTTTAAACACAAAGCATGTTGGGGACTGTTGTGAAAATTAGGCATTTTTGCTTGATGTTGGATGGAATTTAATAAACATTTTTGAGTTGAATTTTGCCAGCTTTATAATATCAAGTAAGGCTGTTCTTCAAAGAATTAAGATATAATTGAATTAAACAAAATTTGTTGGGATTTCTTGAAATTTGTTAATCAAGAAATTTGTAGGAATTAATAAAAATTCCAGAATTGCTTTATTTTCATTAGGTTACCCAATGATTTAATTATAGTTTAATAATGTTTTGATGAGTTTTTAATGTGATTTTCCACTTAATTTTATTATTTTTTCAATTAAACGATAACTTTCGTTTAGGGGCCGTTCACTTATTACGTTCGTATTTAGGGGGGAGGGGGGGTTTGAAAAATTGTAACAAAATGTAACATAGGGGGGGGGGGGGGGGGGGGGTTGGTCAAGAAGTATGTAACGTTCTAACTGTCGTCTGTCTTTTAAAAAAAAGTTCACGAAACAAATTTGAATTATGAACGTTCAGGGGGGGGGGGGGGGGTTGTGAGTTGTAACATATTGTAACAAGGGGGGGGGGGGAGGGGGGTGAAAAAAGTCGGTTTTTTGCGTAACTTAATAAGTGAACAATTTAGACACATTAAAAATAAGAAAAGCTCAACAATTCCACCCACTTCCCATAAATTTAGCTTGTTGCTCTCTTTCAAATGAAATAATATCCAGATAATACCAACATTATTCCTTTGTCAAACAAGCTCTTTACAATATCAACTAGAAATTGAAATAAAAGCAACATTATTTATTCTCCAATTTCGCCTATAAATACAATTCAATTTGATCAATAAAAAGCATCAACGAGTAATGAAAATGAGATTTGTGCTGGATATAAAAACAATTTGAAAAGAAAGTTTCTTTTATGAATGATATATTTTTATCACTTGATAAAAATTTCTATTGTATTATCAATTCCAAACCGATTGTCTGATAAGTCGATTGTAAATGTTAAGTCCCACCCATTGAGGATACAATTTGATCCAATTATCAATTTTGTAGCTTAAAAAAGATTGTAGATTTTAAGATTACATTCTATGCAGGGGCGTAGCCAGGGGGGGGCCATAGGGGGCCCGGGCCCCCCCTACGAAAATCTGATAATTGTTTTATTAAGTTTTTATAGAGAAGAACCAGTTAATGTAGAGGAAGTGATGAAAGAAATGTCAAAATCAGCACGAAAAATTAAATTTAATGTATGAATAATGAATTAAATATTTAAACTTATGAAGAATGAATATAGATTTAAGGATACAAAATAACGGTTTTTTAATTTTCGAAAATGGGCCCCCCCCTCAAAAATTTTCTGGCTACGCCCCTGATTCTATGGAACAGCATTAAAAATCATTGGAGTTTCAAGGTTGTTTAAAAATTATTTTCAGTTCCATAGAAAGTTGTAAAAAGAAGATTTTGTATTGTCCTACATACAAAAAGCGATTATGTAGAAGAAATAATGTTTACAAACTATAGTAAAATGTTGATGAAGCAAAACTGAGGTACTGAGGAAGCATCCCTTCCATCATTCTCATATTTTACTTTTTTAACATCTCATAAAATGTTTCACAAACTTTAAAGCAACTATATTGAGAATACAAAGAAGAATGGAATTTGGCAACGATGAATAGCTTTGAAGGTTCTAAGGTGAAATATCATATCTGTAATATTTGTTGTGTTGATGTTTATTCTAAAATGTCAAGAGTTTAACATTTATAGATGTTGAAAGTAAGATTTTGAGTAGGTTTTGTAAAGTCATAAGCTATTCTATTTACAACGTTGACTTTTGATCAATAAATTCAGATTTGAGTAATATTTATTAAGATATCGAATTGAAATCGAATCGTATTTTTAGAACAAGCGTACCTGTTGGGAAAATTGAAAATGATGAAAGGAAAATTGATGAGAATTTTCGCATTTAAATTATAAGGTTCCTTCAAAGAAATCACAGCTTATTTATAAATATTTATGAATATGAAGCTTAATGATTTCTTTGGAATGCCTTGAGATAAAATCAATGATTTTTTTTTGGTAATTTGATATCTTTTAAGTTGTATTTTAATTTGAAAGGTTTCTGAGAAATTTCATTCGATCGATTGCTGTGGGAGTTTGTGAATTGTTAAAGTTACGAGTGGTTCCAGGCTAAAAACATGAAGTTGAGAGCCTTTGTGGAGTAATTGGCAAGGCTCAGAGCTCGAATGAGTTAGCATCTTAAAGGTCGGTTAATCAGTTCTAATTCTGTGATTTCAAATTTATTCTTTTTCGGAAGTTTAGATACTTTGAGTGCTTTTAATGCTTGAAATCAAGACAATGCTTGACATTTGTTAAACTTACGCACAAGTAACGAGCTTTATTATTTTTGAATTTTAATATAAAACCATATGAAAACCAACACTCTTCCTATTGCTCTAAGTTAAATCATTCAAATATGCCATCCTAAGCACTTAGTACAAGACACACATCAGTAAACACCCACCATCTGAGCAATCAAAGTCCTCCTTACAATTTAGCATCATCTGTTTATCACGCATAAAACGGAAAATATTCATTGCCTACGAAAAAGTGGAAGTAAATAACTCCATTATCCTCAATGAAATCAAAATAATACAAAAATATATTTTCGAAGCTAGAAAAAAATAATTCCATTAAAAAAAATAAGAAATAACAAAAAATTAAAACTTTTTCCATCGTCAATGTGGCCATTGTTGAAACTTTTTCTATTGTTGTTAGGCATGATGGCAATGAAACGAGAGTAAACTTGAAATAAATATTTTCTATTCTGCTTCACGGCCAACAAAGATTTTTTAAGAAGAGTAGAAAGGAAATATTTAGTCAAAAGAGACTTGTGGAAGTGCTAAAAGTGCTAAACACTGTCGGAAATGAAGGCCTTCAATAGCATCAGGTGTTAAGTTCTTCATTTCCCATCTATATTGCTTCATTTCGTTAAGACTGTCATAAATAGATTTATTGTCACAGTTAATCCTTAATATCTCGACATAAATGAAACATAATAAAGACCCCAACGATGGAAGGGAAATGAGATTATGTCAGAATAAAACACATCACGGGATTCTGTTGATAATGATGGCGATAAAAATCGTTTTCACTATTTTCAGCATCATTAAACTTCCACTCAAGATTATATTACATTGTGGTGCTGAATTTTAACAGAAAAATCACAAATTTATTGCTGTGGAAAGTGTTGATTTTACAGTAAATCCTTTTTCATGAAATTATAGCTTGATAAAATCTAAGTATTATGGTTAATTGATTGATGCTTAAAAAAGCTCTCGACCACCATTATACGGACTCATTGTGTACTCAAGTGTGAAGCAGTTTAATTAAAAGAATTGTTATAAACGAGGAAGTAATGAAAGAGTGCTTGTACTTTGTGCGGAGGTGGGAACGTTTTGATAGTTTTGTTACAATATTTATAATAGAGCGGTTGTTTGTGTGTTTTGTTGAATGAATAATCTGTTTTTAAGGAAAGATTTGTCTAACCAGTTCTTAAAGCAATTTGCTGTTTCCAAAAATAGTTTTGAATCAATACATATTTAGGAATGGTCTGTCAATATGTATTTCGATGGAGTTCTACTCTATACAATTCGAATGATTTCATAGCTTAAGAACTAATTCAGCTAAAATTAGGAACCATTTAACAATTTAGAACTTTTTGGCATTAATTCAGCACTTTTTGGCGCAAATTCAGCTAAATCTGGCACCAATTCAGCGCATCTAGCAGATTCTGGAACCAATTCAGCGCATTCAGCAGTTTTTGGCACCAATTCAGCGCATCTAGCATATTCAAGCTAATATTATTCAAATTGATATTTTTCAGTTGGTGTTTTTGGAAAACCAACAAATTTTGTTTCTAATGCCCAAAAAATAAACTCAATCGAACGACACTGAACCAAAATTTTTCATCACTGCCCCAGTTGCCAGAAAAAAAATCTTCATTATTATTTCCGGCACACTTTTTTGTCTGCAGTACAAGAATAACCACAATGATCGAATCAAGAGGAAGACAAAAAGCAAAAGTTTCAAGATCGCATGAATTTTCATCAAGATGATTAACATTTAATATCTAAAACTTTTCATTCATCGTAATTGAATAAAGAAAAATTGCAGAACAAGAAGCATAAAAAAATTTAATGACCTTAATTTAATCGAGATTGATTAAAAAATTTCTACATTTAATCTACTCTATGTTTACACAAAAGAACACAAAAGCTTTATTTTTTTGCGAGATATAAAAGTTTGAAGCCATTAAACTCTGAGTCTATATAAACAATATATAGCAAGTCTATTGTCCTATCGATAACTCAATAAATTGCTTTTGTTGTTGAGCAGTGTGACAAACGTTAAAGACTGATCCATATAATATTTTTTATCAATGATGAAGACAAAAGCGAAAATTGTGAAAGAAAAGAGACTGAAATAAAACTTTTTAATCATTTTTGAAGCACTTTTAGTAATAAAAAAGTTCCTCGCATTCGTTCACACATGGTTGAGAAATCTTTTGTAAAATTGAGCATTATTTTTGATTTCGATTTTCTAAGTTTTGCACAATAGAATCTTTACTGCTATGCCAACACAGAAATTTAATCATTTCTTATGATAAATATGAATGCATACATTTAAATTTCAAAGTTTATTAACAAATATAAGCAATTAATATGTTAGAACTTTCATATTTAAATTGTTTGTAAACAAAACTTACACATCAAGTTTTTATTTTCAAATTTTAACTTAATTAAAGCTTTAATTGCAGTTTAATTGTTTAGAAAAGATTGATGCTATCTGAGCAAAGTTAATTACACTATAATATTACAGTAAATAAGTCTCATACCAGTGATTTTGTCATTTTAATTTCCAAAGTGTGAAGTAAAAACAAAATGGCGCGAAATTTTCTTGTCTCACAAACAAGGAAAATTACAAAATGAAGGATTTTTAAACAATAATTTAAAAACCAAATAACAAAAATGGCGGTAAAAATCTCAAACATTCATTCGATCCACCCGCACTCACCGAAATAAAAGAAAAGTAATTTCCATGAGCAACAACTGTTTCATTCTCGTTTTCATTGCTCAAGAAAATTTATGTTCATAGCCTTAACCGCTTCAACCTATTGCACAAGCATAAATTTATTTCAGTTCATTCATTTCATCTAGGGATGGTTTGTGTTGGCAATTACTGTTTACTTCTGCAGAAGTAACAGACGAGTAAGAAGAAGAAATAGAAGAAAAAATCATAATTGGAAGGAAATAAAATGCCACAAGAGAAAAGAAAGGACTTTCCTAGTTAGTGCTGTTGTCATTTCATCCATTAAGGAAAGTAAAAGGGAGAATAAGAAGGTTGAAGAAGGAAATTTATAACGTAAGGATATTAAGTCATTTAGAACAGTATGCTGAATTTATGTATGTCGTAAGTTTCACGTGTTTCATAAACTTTTGCCTAAATCTTAGAATTGTAAGAAGAAATCAAAAGTTGTCAGTATGGTTCCGTTTACGAACTTTAATGTTCCTATTTAGGTTTTGAATGAATACTTATAAGTATTGTGAACTTAAGGTATAAAACAAGAATTGTTGATGAAAATTTAGCAATGGAAATTTAAAATTTAAATTAAAATCACTTAAATCTCGACTTTTTCGCGCGTTAAGTTTTAAAAATGAAAAATATCAAAAATTTATTAATTAAAAGTAAATGAAGAGTCCCCAAATCATTAAAAATAATAATTTAAAATCGTCATATCCAGTTGTGGTTATCATGGTTAAACTAATACTTTTTTAAAACAATTTATTATTCACAAAACCAATAATTTTAATTGTACCGACAAGAACACATTTTAAGCATTAATTTGACTACTTCTCACAGCAATTGCCATGAAAATCAGCGTGAAATTTCCCACAGGCAATCAGCTAGAATCCTCAATGACAAATATACATTCGTACTTCTTGGTTAGAGCATTTTATTACACAATGTATATTAAATATATTAATTTCAACGCACAAACGTGAGCATGTAATTCGGAATTGTTATTTTTTTGTGTACTTTTTTTATTGCGATTCTCATATTACGCATAGCATTGGTTTCTGTTGATAATTTATTGCGATTTTCTTCTTCATCTATTGCCAACATTATTATGCTTACAACTTTTTTTTTATTTTACGTAAAAAACTTTTTATTTTTATTATTTTTTTCCCAACATAATCATTTAAAATAACAACAGTAGCATGAATGCAAGTTGGAATCACATCATCATTATTCCCATGGATGGAAAAATCTCATGTCAAAAATAAAGTTTATATATTATGCTCACACATGAGCTTGCTGCTACTGAATAAATTAATTTCAGCAACTACAACATTTTATTTGATGTTTTTGACATTAATTAATTGATTCGAAATGTGATAAAAAAATAAAGTTTTTCATGCATGAACATTTCCCGGTTCAGCTGCAATGTGATCTACAATGTGCTTTCTCGCTATCGGGATCGGGATCGGGATTTCCCGGGATTTACCGATCCCGATCAATCCCGGGATCCCGAAATTTATCGGGATCGGGATTGAAAATCCCGGTTTTTTAGTTTAGGAAATTATTACTAAATACGCGACAGAAGAATTATTGCGTAAATCAAACGATTTATTAATTGCTGAAGGAACAATTAACTTTTTGCTAGACGAATTGTTGCTACAAGGAACATTATTGTCTCAAAAGGTTTACGATATGAATTGCGCTCGCATAGGTGCACGAAGAAATGGAACATTAATTGACTTAATACTTTACCTGAATAATCCTCAATTTATTTCTTTAGACAAGCATTTTAAATCGTCAACAAAAGCTGCAATACATAAACTTGGCATTGACTTATTGAAGAAGTATTTTGTCAAAAACTCTACAAATGGAGCTATGGAAGCTTCAACATCCAGTGCAAATCAAATCCAACCGTCAAACATTTCTATTCGAGATAGACTGAAACTAAGCAGATCTGAATATACATCATTAACAACAGATGCAGCAGCAACAGAACCAAATAACTTGAAAAGAGAGTTTAATTGGTATGACAAAAATAAGAAGAGAACCGTTTTATTAGATCAACTTTACGATGCATTGATAACAATGCAGCCGACCTCAACTCAAAGCGAACGAAATTTCTCTATTAGTAACAACATTCTTACAAAACAAAGAAAACGTTTACTTGACAAGAATCTAAATGCAATTGCATTTGTTAAAAGTTTTTTCATTAATGCTTAATTTTTATTATTATATTCACACCGTTTTCTCTAATCTTTTAACTTACATCTTTAGCAACATTTATTTTCTATTTTTGTTTATGTTCACATTTTTCAAATGAAACATGGATTAAAACATCTACCATGTAACACATAAAGTATAACTAATTAATTAAGGAATAAATGACCGTATAATTAGCAAAAAAATATATAATTTTTTTTGGGCAAAAAAGCAGAAAAATGCTGTTTTTTAAATTTTTTTACATATTCGGGATTCCCGGGATTTCCCGGGAAATCCCGAAAAATTTCAATCCCGATCCCGATCCCGAAAATTTGTCGGGACCGGGATTTCGAGAAAGCATAATCTACATGAGTCAATATCAATTTACTAAGTAAAATATTGATGATGCTTTGAGCTTTATCCTGAAATTTGATGATTTTAATGCACATATCGAACTTTTCGATCTTACATTTCAATTAATTTTAATGAGAACATGCTACATGCATTAATTACAGTTTTCTGGATGTGAAAAGAGGTTAACTTCAGTTTGACTTTTAAGGTGATAAATGAAATTCTGTAGATTTAAGTTGTTAAAGTTTCACCTGACTTTTTTTAAATTAAGTTGTTGGGATATCAATGGAGCATCCGAAAAAAGGTTTAATTTAGACAATTAAGGATTCGAACCGTCGACCTTCAAGTTATCATACAAAATTTATACTTAGAACCTCAACAATTTACTCTAAATAAGCACTTAACTGCTTAATATCCTTTCAACACCAAGCGATTGGGATTCCACAATTTATTCTATTAATCTAATATCATGTACAGCCCCTCGAAATCCAATAAAAATTTTCGTGAATTATTTATTTCTTCAAAATGCTTTTTCCTCGTCTTATTCCTTTCATTTCTAATCTAGCAACAAAGTTTCTTTTTATCCAATCCACAGTTATTGAAAGCTGCCGTACATTTTTTTATAGCAAAAAAAAAAAGGAAAATTCTTATTTCTGTTTCAACAGTTCTCAATGCGACTAAAGGAAGCTTCACGTTTGTCAGCATTGAAAATTGAAAATTTTTCGGAAGGACTCTGTTCAGTTTTGTGTACTTCCGTGATAAAAAGTACATGATGTTGTTCGTCGTAGCTTCCTCATTCGCTTCTTGCCGTCAGATGATGAATGGAAAGTAAATGTTAAAAAATAATATAATGATACTTTCATAAAAAATCTCTTTCCGACACACTCATTGTATTTTATTGAGATAACAAACAACCCATTCATCATATGGCTTTTTTTAACCATTTCTTGGTGTTCATTAATTATTGACTAAATGCTCATCCAGTAATATTTCATTTCACTGCTTTTATCGCAATAAAATGTGAACCATCAAATGATCATCATCAATGACATTTTATTAATTTATTTGTAAGCTCAATAAAAAGCTTTCATGACTTTTTTCCTTCCATTATTGATTGAAGCACTCTATAATCACAAGTACAGTGTAGCGTGAAGTTGGTATCGCATCGATTGCAATTATGTAGTTTTTTTTCCTTTTATATTACCCTAGATGCTTATGCTGCTATAGAGTTACGTATTTATTAATTTATTCAAAGATTGCTGAGTGATTTATTGTTTTGGTGGGAAACAATTTTGTTTACATTATCCATATCAAATGTTTTTCATTAAAGTTTGACTTTATTCGTTATGGAATTGCTTTAATAGTGATCAGTAATGAGTTAACTAGAGTGAGCAAAGGAGAATTATTTAATGCTATAAGTTTTTAATACTTAAACTTAGTTTTCATTTAAAATATTTTTTTTTAAAATGGCGAATTTATTTACTGCACATCAAGTTTTTGTCTGTAAAATTTGACTTAAATATCTAACCGTTGCCCATTTTATTAAGATAAACCAAAAGAACTATTGCGAGCAAGCTAATTTCTTTCCAAAAAGTCTTCATTTAAGAATCAAATGACTAAAATTTGACTAGCAAAAATGGGCTATAAAATTTCTTTAAAACAATCTGTTATTCCATCCACATTCCCTGGATTTCAAGCGTAATTGAACCATTACGATACAAATATGCTCACTTCATATTATTACGCTGCTGTGAATATGAAAATTAAATAAAAAACTTTTTTGCGAGCTGAAAAAGTTCAAATTGCAGTGCAATCGTACAAGTACAACTTCATATGATGCTCAGCTTCCCATAATTGCTTTTGCTAAACTTCTCATGTGCAATTGAAAATAATAATAACAACAGAATATTCTTTTTCGTATAGTTTGATGTTTGGCTGAATAATCCAAACAAAAATGTCGAAACTTAACGCCCACTCAAGCTGTATAGAATTTTTCGAGAGATCAACAGAGGTTAATGTCTGGAGGTAAATTTTGCTGACAGTTTAATTAATTTTTATAGAATTTTATTCTCTTGAGGATAGCGATGTGTCAGCAATATCGAAAAATTCTTTTGTTCGCAGTGCGTATGGTTGTTGTTTTTTGTGAAGTTTATAGAGTAAGTATCTAGCTTTGTTTTATACAGTGCGTATGATTCGTTTAGCCGCACTAAGGAAAAAATAATTTCTTTTCACAAAAACGATGAATTAGTATTTTGTTTCGTGTCCATTCTTACGTATAAGTTCAATTAGACGATTTTGCATGGAATTGATTAAAGTTTCTAATATCTGTGTTGATAAATTTCGCCAGCAATTACGGACTTCAACTTCAAGCTCTTGAATGGATGAAAATTTACGACTTCGACGGGCAAGTGTTCCCCATAGATTCTCTATTGGGTTCATGTCGGGTGATCTACTTGGCCAGTCGAGAACAACGATATTTTTGTTACTAAACCATTCCAGAGTCTTTTTTATTTTTCTGAATTGAAGCATTATCTTGGACAAAAATGAAGTCACCGTCCATAAAATCGTCCGTAAATGGAATCAAAATATCGTCCATGAGCTGAATATAGTTCTCTGAGTTCATCCGAGTAGTAACTTTTGCAATCGGGGTCTTACCATGCATTGAGAATGCTGCCCAAACCATTAAAGAGCCACCACCAAAATTTCTAGTGGAATTGCTTTTCGTTTCTTAAATCGTGCCAGTAGAAATGAAATCCATCAGGTCCATTAAGATTAAATTTTTTCTCATCTGAAAAGACCACATTTGTCCACTCCGTAGTCCAATGAACGTATCTTTTCGCCCAATTAAATCGTTCTACAATATGCTCAGGATTCCACATAGGTTTTTTCATCTTCTTGACACATTTAAAGCGGCCAGAGTCTCGCAATATTTTACAAACTTGAGCTTTCTTAATAGGCAGATCTAATTCACGTATGATATCATTAGAAAAGTAGTTTTCCGTAGAAGAAAGTTGAATTGCACGATTTTTGTCACGATTTGTAATTTTTGTATTGCCCTTTGTCTTCTTCTTCTTGCCATAATCTTTGCCTTTTGCTAAATAATTTCTTACTCCTTTTTCGTCTCTATTAATTGGCTTCGCAATATCCCGATTGGACAGCTCAATCGATTTTAATTGATCAATTACAGCCTTTTCAGTCTCATTTAAGTATTTTCCTTTTGGCATGATTAAATTTTTGTTTTGTAATCAGTAAGCTAATGAATTAATAGCGTTACTTTATAAATGATAATCTATTTAATTAAAATTACTGAAAATTACTTACAAATGAAAATACTTTTTTTCCTTAGTGCGGCTAAACGAATCATACTTTCAAAATCCAAATTTTCGTTATTTTTTTATTTTTTTCTTTCCTACTTTTTTTAAAGTATTATTTATAGCTTACTTGATTACGAAATAAATGAAGAATATTTGACAGTATAATTGAATTTTTATAAGTTGCATATTAGAAAGAAAAAAGCAAAAAACTGTGTGCGGCTAAACGAATCATACGCACTG